ATTCTACACTTGCATTGAAAGAAAAAACAGTAAAGTGGTACTAGTGTTTAGCACTGCAAAAATGAAGAGAACATGCATATGTAATGCGCAAATAGAGTTGCCACCATGTAACTATATAGTAACACATTATATGTAGAAACAAGGTTTTTAAAAAATTAAAACATACTGACAAAATTTGAAGCTTTCCTCATTTACATACATGAACTACGTGGGCAGGATAGTAGCTTTTTAGATAGCACATTTGCATTGCAGCACTAGGGGCTTGGTTCAAATCCCAATTAGGCTGATGCATGCAGTTTGCATGTTCCTCCTGTGCTTGCATGAGTCTCCTCCTACACTCCAAAAACATGTTAATTGGCTCCTGTATGAATTGGTCAGTGTATGTATGCATATGAGATAGGGACCTTAGACAGTAAGTTCCTTGAGAGCAGAGACTGATGTGTATGTATGTAAAGTGCTGTGTAAAACTATACAATCCCTTTTAACTCTGGCAATCAGGCCATAAAGTCACAACTAGGAGACTGTTGTATAGGTCATCAAACACAGAAGCAAATGTTTCTAAATGGTTGTGGAATTACCTTGGCCTTGCTGTATGATTACCTTAGAGTGTATTGTCACAATGTAAGAAACTGATAAATACAGTATGTTCTTTTAAAGAGTTTTGTTAGAGATTGACAAATATATATTTTTTTAATATTGGAAAAATATTTCTAACTTGTGAGCTTTGACATGACATTATAGATGAATCCTTCCTTGATCTACCAATGAAACAATTTGCAAAACTTATTGAAAGGACAACTATACCCTTTCCATTGCTATTTGTATGAAAGGATTCTCTGAGAAAATCTGCTCAGAGAATATGGTGGTGAAATCTAGTGGATGTATTAGTAATGACCATTGTTGTATGTATTCTTATGTATTTAAAATAAAAATACTATTGTTTGAATTTTTAACCATACTTAAGATTGATAATTCAATTCATTTTAATAACATAGATTTTTTTTATGGACTTTTCATTCCTCAGCACCTTAAAATTCCATTTTGAATTTTTTTTTTTTTGTGTTTGATGTTCTGAATAGTAAGTCGTGGTACGTAGACTCATCCACCAGCCCAATTTAGATGTTGTACAGATTATGCATCCATGAAAAATATATACTGTAGCCAAGGCTAAAACTGGAAGAACAATTAAAGTGTTACTAAACTCACAACAGTAAAATCAGTCTGTATATGCAGTAAAGCATCCTTGTTATACTCACTGTAGAACCTAAGGGGTTAATCCTCTGCATTGTGTAAAAACGCTGTTTGATCATGACTTCTCTGACCCTCCCCCTTCTTCCAGTGCCCCCCTCTTATCTCCTGATAAGGCATATCGTGTGGAGTCACTCTGCACATGCTCAGTTTGGTGTGTATTACTAGAGAGGTTTTTTTTTTCTTGGGAGGGTTCATGTGTTCAGCACAGGACCAATCAGCACTGTCCAGACAGAGGTCAGGGGTTCTGCATCATTCTAGAGCAGAATGAAAACTCCTCCTACAAGCTTTAGCATGTGCTTGGCTGGACACTGAGAGAAGTCACAAGACTGCTATATACTGCTGATGAGAAAAGGTATTTAGCAGTTTATATTTACTACAATAATCGCACTTCCATGTTGTGTGTACTGTGAGAGACCAGATAGAGTGAATGCAGGGTCCTGGGTTTAGTAACACTTTAAGTAATTGGGAACAAAGTGGTCACATATTCAAGAAAAGACAGTTCAAGTGGCCTGTGAACAGGTAGTAAAAGCTGAACTCCAGGTAAACAGCTAAACACAGAAATTAAATACTTTGTACATATATTAATCTCTTTTATCTGACAAAGGATTTATATTTCTGTATATCCATGCCTGAGATTTACTTAGCTCTGCCCCACAGCACAGCACAGCTCTATATAGCAGATAAGGGGACTTGATCTTTCTCTGCTGCAGTTTTGCTTTTAATTACCAGGTGCCTGGACAGTGAAAGGAGAAGCAGCACACTAATCAGCTCATCTCTATGTCACTCTGCTCTCTCCTCCAATCATTATGGCTCACTGGAGTGCAGCTGAACTGGCTGCACAGTAGATGCAAAAGGCTGATACCAGGCAATAGGGATGAGCCTTGCATTTTGAGTCAAGATTGGGTTCACGGTGAACCTAACTGCAATTTTTTGCAGGCCTGTTTGTAAAAACATTGTCATTTTTCTGGACAGTGTGATTCAGCACATACATTTATTTAGGCTACATCCACAGCAGCGATTAAAGCCAGTGTAAATTGTACCAGCAGAAATCGTCTGCAGCTCTAAGTGGCTAGGTGCATCCGTCAGCCCTGTTTACTATAATGACAGGTCATTGGTGGGTGTGGGTATTCGTAACTGTACGCACAACCAGAGATTACCTGCGGTGATTGCTGCTGCAATTCGCACTGGCCTTGATCGCTGATGTGAATGTAGCCTTAGTGTGTGGGGTTACTTTAACAAAGTAAGCTAGTGAATGTGAGCTGGGCTCCATTTTCTTGTGTGCCCTGTCTGAGCAGACAGATCCATGCACCCAAAAAAATCTTTTTAATGACCAATATTTGTCTACAAATTCTGATTGATAGCTAGATTTTAAATTTTTTAGTTTATTTTACATTATAACTTTAAGCTTGGGGTGATTAAAGTGCATCAGGCAGTTGTTGTTGACGATTCATCCATTTTTTACCTTGTTCAAAAGAAAAAAACATTGAGCAGGATGTGTGAGCATGATGTAAACCACCTCCTTCCTTTTATATATCTACATTCACGGCACCCGCCCCCCCCTCCATCTCCATAGATAAAATAAAAGATAGGCATACAGTAAAAAAGTAAGGCCTTTTATTCTTGCTTGCAGGGATATGTAAACCCTCACCTTGAAAAGAAACCCATTCAGTTTAAAATAGAAATGAAAGGCAAAACATGTATGTATACATATAAAAAAATTATAAATACCACTTTTTTATAAGTGAACACATAATCTCTGTTCTCAGCTGCATAAGGAGCTCATGGAAGAGAAACAGCAACAAACTGATCTTCCCAGCGAATGGCTATCAAGAGGGGGAGGAGTCAGCACAAGTCTGATTATTGGATTATCTCCCAACACAGCCAGAAAACTGACCACACTGTGCTCTCATGCGTAGTGTGGCCCCGTTTTAATAGAAAAGCAGAGGGGCTGGCAGGAATAACAGCTATCTCATACAAAGGAAGGATACAAGGACATGGTACAGTAGCAGGGGCAGACTGACCATTTGGAAACTCGGGCACTGCCTGAGGGCCCGGGGTCAGTAGAGGGCCCCATGAGATGCCCCTGGTACCTTTTTCATAGACTTTTTTGAGGACAAGGACACAGGGGCCCCATGATCTCCTATTGCCCGGGTGCCCATGAGTTGTCAGTTCGCCCCTGTACAGTAGGCATATATTAGGAATATGAAATGTTGGGTTTCCATATTCTTTAAAACTCTTCTGCTGGGCAATTTTACACTGCTGTACCCACCATGTATTAAAAAAACTCTTTATGTCATTACTAATAGGCAAATTAAAATAGTCAGTATGCATCTCTTCGATTGTAAGCTTCCAGGATCAGGCCCTCCTATCCCTCTTGTATTGAACTGTATTGTTGCTGTATTGTCTCCCGTTATATTGTAAAGCGCTGAGCAAACTGTTGGCGCTATATAAATCCTGTATAATAATAATAATAATAATAATAATTTTATAACTGTTTTAAACAGTTTACAGAATCGTTGGTAATTCAGTATCTGCCTTTAATTCAAGAGATATGATTGCTTGTAAGTATTTCAGTAGTGGAGGTCAGATTTCTGCCCTTTCTGTCTTGTTTAAGAAACCCTTGGCTTCTCACTCCTTTAAATAATACCTAATCTGTGTCACAGATTAGCTGCAAAGCATATGTACTGACCTTAACTGACCTTTAAGTCTCTTAATTGTTTTCTTGTCTTGCCTTCAAATCATCCACATTTGGATTTTTATTAATCCACCAAACAATATTCTTTGTTATTTAACACTGGATTAATAAAACAAATGTTTTTATTACTCTGCTTTATAATTCTTCTATATGTGTAAATTATTATTTCCTGTTCCAGCTAGTATGCATTGTCATCACTGCTCTTGTTTACTGTACCCAGGCAGAGATGGTCTTACAAGGAAAAAAATAATAATTGAAAAATAAAAAAATCCTACTACCTCCTGTGCAGCCTGTCACTTTAGGTGGGACTGACCTTTTTTTTAATTAAGGGGGGAAGAGGAAGCCGTCTATGGTCACAGGTTTACTCCCCGCAGCTATATCTCCAGTGGGGGGGATCTACTATCAGGAAAATTGAAAAATAGGTTATCACAGCTGAATTTAGGCCTTCTCTTCACCACCAGCACACCAGTCCTCTTCCTAACTGCCAGGACACCAAAACTGCTTGTTATGGCAGAAACATGAGTATTGAGTATCTCAGTAGGTATGAGGTTCAGATTCACTACTACCATGTGTTTGAGGCAAATCCTACAGGTTTGAGATTTATGGTCCCAATGAGTTTATGTGCAGGTTTGCCAGAAAGAATTTTGTTTAACCACTAGCCTACAGGGCACTTATACCCCCTTCCTGCCCAGGCCAATTTCCAGCTTTCAGCTCTGTCACACTTTGAGTGACAATTGCGCGGTCATACAACACTGTACCCATATGACATTTTTATCATTTTTTTAGACAGATAGAGCTTTCTTTTGGTGGTATTTTTTCTTAAACAAAAACCACTTAAAATTTTGAAAAAAAAAAAAAACATTTTTTCTTAGTTTTTGTTATACAATTTTGTAAATAAGTGATTTTTCTCCTTCACTGATGTGCGCTAATGAGGCTGCAGTGATGGGCACTGATAGGCTGCACTGATGGACACTGATAGGTGGCACTGATGGGCACTGATGAGGAGGCACTGGTAGGGTGCACTGATAGGCATTGACAGGCATCACTGATGGGCACTGAAAGGCAGGACTGATACATGACACTGATACATGACACTGATATATGGCACTGATAGGCGGCACTGATAGGCAGCACTGACTGGCACTGATAGGCGGCACTGACTGATGCTGATGCGCACTGATAGGCAACACTGACTGGCACTGATAGGTGGCACTGATTGGCAGCACTGATAGGTGGCACTGGTTGGCATTGATAGGTGGCACTGACTGGCACTGATGGGTGACATTGAAAGGCAGCTCAGATGGGCACTGATATGTGGCATTGATGTGCACTGGTATGCACTGATATGTGGCATTGATGTGGCACTGATGGGCACTGGCACGTGGCACTGATGGGCACTGGCATGTGGCACTGATGGACACTGACAGGTGGCACTTCTGGGGCCACACTGATCATCAGGGCACACCGAGTTTACATGTCCCCCTCCGCGGAAAGCCGATTACCGTTCTCCTCTCCTCTCGAGCTGTCAGCGTGACAGCTCGAGAAGAGAGAAATGCCGATAACCAGCATTTCCGTGTTTCCGTCCAATCACAGCTGATCACATGACCGAGCCGACATCTTCAGCTCTTTCTGTGAGCCGCGCATGCACAGTGAGAATGGTAGGACGTCATATGACGTCCTATCAGAACGAGAGAACCACCTTGCGCCCGTCATTGTTCTATAGGGCGGGCGGAAGGTGGTTAAACTATAATGAGCTGTATGACCTTTGAACTATGACCAGCAGCTTTACAGGACCAATTATGAGGATTTTAGATAAGCCAGTCCCATCTCAGAGCAGCCATAGGGATAGATATGCTAAAACTGGTGCACTCAGAATCTGGTGCAGTTGTGCACGATAACCAGTTAGCTTCTAACCTCAGCTTGTTCAATTAAGCTTTGGCAATAAAACCGTGAAGCTGATTGGTTTCTATGTAGACATGCACCAGAAATTGCACTTTCCAATTTTAGTAAATCAACCTCTTGCCTCTATGTTATTTTGTGGTTGATTTGAGGATCAGTGGTCACTTTCATCTGCTCTCCTATCCATAACAAAATCTTATTTTTTTCTTCATTTGCTAAAAAAAAAAAAACTACCTTAAAAAAATCAGGTTTTTGCTTTGTGGGGGGTGGTTGTAGTATTTTGTGCTTTTCGTTTCTTTTTTTTTCTTTTTTGTAGACAAGGCCTTTATATTAATGTAAGTTGATTTTTTTTTTCTGCTATAAGACTTTTCTTTTAAAAATGCAGATTTTCGCTTCAGGGGAGATATTTTGGGGATTTAATGTCATTCTGATTGGCCTAGTCATGTCACATGGAGTCAGCTAGAGGCTCCTCTGGCATAAGGTATCTTCTTTGACCCCTGGAACTAAATAAAGCAGTGGGGATGCAAAGAGAAGGTAAGTGTATGAGGGATGGGGATTAAACTAAATTGGTTTTACCTGAAAGTACAACACACGGCTTTGCTTTATATGTATCTGAAACTCTGAGGAGAATAATACAATTCATGAATACTGATTGCCTGGGTTCATAAACTGTGTTGTCCACATATCAAACAAATCTGCTGGAACATGAGTCAGCTGAGTTGAAAATTTGGAATCACTGTAAAAAATACATTTTTTTTAAAGTGAATAATTTAAATTGTAGATCAATATACCCGTCTTTAAATGAAAACTGGAATTTTTAGAAGATAAGATAAGAAGTAATTCAAGCTCTTTAGAGCACTGCATATGGGACTCATTGGGTAAAAGCAAACCTAAAACTTTATCATACTCTTGTAAAATATATTGTAAAATGTTATGAGATTTTATGACTGAATACATGATAAGAATATTAACCATTGAAAAACAAATTCAGTTTTTTTTACCTCCAAGTCCAGGTCGCAGTCTGTTGTCGTATCCATCTAGTAGACCATCAAGTATTCGGGTGAATATTGTGATGTTATCATTAGTGTCTTCTTTTATTGAAGCAGTAGTCATCTGTGAAAAGCTGTGTACAAACATAAGTCTTTAATAAAGCATGTCTAAAATCAACATAAAAATTGTCCTTTTATGTAGACCTGTGACCAGGCTATGCACATTTACATGTTTGCATATTCTTAAAGAGGTAGTAAGGTCTGAACTAAAAAAAAAAAAAACTTCCTCCTGCAAGTTAAGCATTACGATGCATACTAGCACATTAAAAAAAGACTTAAAAACAAAAACTTCCATCTTCACCCAGTCTTCCTCCAGGTTTGCAGATTCTAGCTATTTGAATGGCCAGACGGTGAGTCACTCCCACGCACGTTCACGGGAGCTAAGATCATGGCACAGTGCTCTGAAGGGACGGCATACTCATACTATGCTGTCCCTTCAGAGGACAGCACACGTGTGCCCGATGCAGAAGTATTGAATATCTCCTAAATCTCACAAGATGTTGCCACAGTTTAGAACTCTCCCTTAAAAGCACTGGGGACTTTGGAACCCAGGGTGCATTTGTAAGGTCCTGGCTAAATCACCAGTGCCTAACAATACCATAACATGGAGGCAAAAAAAGTAAGTTTAAAACCAAACATTAGATTTGAGATGGGACTTTAAGATCACTCAAAATCAGCATGCAAGCTGCATTTTCCACTGATTTAGTGATAAGGTCAGTCTATACAGTTGCTAAGTAAAGTTCTGGCTTGACTATGTGTTAAAATATATATGGAAAACCTTTGATCCATATACATATTACAGTTACTGCTAACTTTCATGCATCGAATGTACCACTGTAATGGGATACCCCAAAACTGATTTCTGTTTTAGATGATATGGGGCAGGATTAGATTTCCTACTAGTCCTTAGGAAATGTGGTACCCTTCTGTAGACAACAACTTCCTCCCTAGACTCCAGATGCCCATTCTGCTAACATTTCTTGCAGTAAATTTGTCTATATATATTTATATGTATTTAGGGTTGGTGACAGGGTGGGTGGCAAACCATTTCTGTGTCACTGAGCCTCAAAAGGACTGTTCCTTAAAAATATGTGGATTCTTTACGTAGGCTAGTTGACTGTTTGAACAGTCAAGCAAAAACCTGTTGAGGAATAGTCTGTCCACAACTGGTCAGTACTCATGTACCATTCCACCCAAAAAACATTGGTTTTAGGTAAAGTTCAGACTCAGTATTGTGGTAAGGAGGCTTGACTACTTCCACAAGGACACCTTTTCGGTATTCCTTGTAGTCCATTCCCATTTTACTTTGCATATAGTACAGAAAATCTAATTATCATTAATATATAAGTTGTGATTCTGGACTGCTAGTTCAATTTCTTGCCATATTAATTTGAGAGGTTTTGTTAATAGCCTGAAAAGTTATTGAAGTAAGACATTTAAGGTCTAAAAGTCACTCACCACTGATATTTTTATTTTCAATAGAAATATGTAAAAAAAAAAAAGAAACACTTTATATGATATTAATACCCTGAAACAATAACAGTGCCTATGACCTTTGTGAGCCAATTTACCAGAAACTGAAATTCATGAGAGATCAAAAATGAACTTCAAAATTGAAAAAAAAAACAACAAAAAAACTTTTCTCTAATTATGATGTTGCAAACTCAGTAAAAAATCTTGGGAGAACAGTCTATAGTGTACGTGTATAGTGTAATGTCTGACATGCAATATGTTCTAGAAAAAAATACCTTATTTACAGTTAGCCTGTACTGAGACCAATACAGAATCTGTCATTGCCGAACGCCCTCTAAGAATATTAGCTGTCAGGCTGCAATACTTTTTGGGGTTGGTTCACTGGAACCGGAGAGTGAAAAATCTGCTACATCTCTACATAGAAACCAATCAGCTTCCAGGTTTTATTGCCAAAGCTTACATGAACAATCTGAAGTTAGAAGCCAATTGGATACCATGCACAGCTGCACCAGATTTTGGACTCTCCATTTTTAGTAAATCAACCTCATTGTGTTTTTGACGCAGAACCAACATACAGACTGTAAAGAAAGAGTGAAATAAAAACTTTTAATCTGCATACATGCATCAAGTCAGAAAGAGCTACGCTTGACAGGCAGGCAACCAGAAGTTTATGAAGGGAAGGTCAGCAAATACAGTTTTTGTATTTTCTCAATACAAAATATTTTAAGGCTGTAAAGAATGGCAGACTAAGAAATGGTGGCACTAAGAGAGTAAAGTATGGAATTGAGCACCACTAGAATAGGTACCCTGTAATTTCTGTCACTTACATATATATATATATATATATATTTACATACCTGCATATTTTTTTTAAGAGTTGATAATTTTCATATATATATAATATATGGGAGGGTTTTTTACCTTAAAAAATAAGTGTAACTATCTGCTGTCACACCAGTGATAAGGGAAAAAGGGCAAACATATTTTCTGTAGATACAATAAATCTTGTGAGCTGCTATAAGCAAATAATGTTTACACCAGGAATCACCCACCATATATAATGTGTTAGTTACTTCAATATACAAAAAACTGCAGTACTTCACCTATATTTAACATCAATGTGTAAACAATAATAAATATAAATGACATATATATATCTATTTTGAAGATATCATGAATGGAACCAATAATCCGACTCCACTATATAATTAAATCCATAAACATTTCCATGCCAGCTTGTACACTTCTCCAGATAACGTCAATATAATTTATGTTGGGTTTTTATAGACATCTATGTCCCTGCTAGAGAGGTTTCTCTCTCTTTACTTGTTTTGGTGACTAGTGCCACTGAGTAAGGAAGTAAGTGGAAGGTATTACAGACAGTAATAAACACACTTTGGAGGAGATTTACTAAAACTGATGCACACAAAATTTGGTGCAGCTGTGCTTAATAACTAATCAGCTTCTAACTTCAACTTGTTCAATTTAGCTTTGACAATAAAACCTGGAAGCTGATTGGTTACTATGTACAGCTGCACAAGATTTTGTGTGCACCAGTTTTAGCAAACAACCCCTTTTTGTGCATAGGGAAAATTAAAAGGATCTGTCAGATTCTAGTTTCCTACTAAACTATGAAAATGTTTTGGATAGACTTTTTATGTCTCAGAAAACTGATGCAGGTGATCTTTTCATAGCTGTCGCATGTTGTGCACCTCCCTCTGCACCATACATTTTCCGCCGCTGCCCAGGTCCCCCTGTGTGCCCTCACAGTGCTAATGGATACCCTCCTCTTCTTTCCAGCTGCAGCTGCTAGCACACAGTAGGATCCTACAGGATAGAGAGTGGGGGAAGGGTCTGGTAAATATGTCACATTTACCAGCCCCTTCCTTTCCTGAATGAACACACATGAGTGATCGGTACCAATCACTCAGTGTTCATTCATAACTGAAGCATAGTAAACTGTGTGTTTTTTTTCGGGGGGGGGGGGACCTGGTCAGGTTTGTTGTAAGGAGCCCCGTGGTTTCTAACAGCAGTCCTGTCTACAGTACATCACTTTTTCATCGAGATATTTCTGTAGTCCAACAGTCTCAACTAGTCCATTTTGCAGGTGGTATAATTGTCTGAGTCTGATCAACCCTTGTGGATGCTAAAGAACTATTCTCAAACAAACCTAGTATAAATCTTTTGTTGTCTTTTATACAAAAAGCATGAAGTGAAAAAAATAAGTCTTTTTAGATGTTGTTTGCACAGCCATGAATCAAAATCAAACATTTTTTGGATGTAAACATAGTACGGGCTTCATAAAGTATATTCCCAATAAACCTATGAGCTTCCCTATAAATTGTAGCTGCAGTCAGGGGCGTATCTACCGGGAGGCAAACAAGGTGTTTGCCTAGGACGGCAATTTTTAGGGGGGCGGCACCGCCCCCTGGAAGAAGGGACCTTTTGAGCAGCGGTGGACAGATCCATGCAGGGCCGTCATCACAGTGGTACCTTCAGTACTCTTGCAGTGGCCTGGACAGCAAGAGGATCGATGTAGGGGAGGGCAGTTGCAGAGCGATGCTCATGTATCTCTCCTCAAGCAGCTGACAAGCCAGGACCAGGGGACAGCCTGAAAGCAGGGAGAGAAAAGCCAGAGAGGAAAGAGCCCGGAGGAGGTGAGCTGTGCTGTGTTCTGTGGGATCTCCCTGCCTCCCTCCCTACACCGACAGATTGTATGAGACTGCACACAACTCCCCCCCCCCCCTTCCTGTTGCCCGGAGATCAGCAGCCCTTGGAGGAGGTGTGTATGTGCAGTTCCATATGATCTGAGAAAGAAAGAGAGAGAGAGGGAAGAGAGGGTGGGGGGAGAGAGGGGAAGAGAGGGAAGAGAGAGGGGGACTAGAGGGAAGAGAGAGGGGGAAGAGAGGGAAGAGAGAGAGAGGGGGGAGAGAAAAGAGAGGAAAAGAGAGAGAGAGGGAGAAGAGAGAGAGAGGGGGAGAGGGGAGAGATGGAAGAGAGGGGGGGGGGGGGAGAGAGGGAGAGATGGGAAGAAGAGGGGGGGGGGGATAGGGAGAGAGAGAGATGAGCAAGGGGGGAGAGAGAGAGGGGGAGGGAGAGAGGGGGGGGAGGAGAGGTCTCGAGAGGGGGGAAGAGAGAGAGGAGGAGGAGGGGGAGAGAAGATAGAGGAGAGAGAGAGGGAAGAGAGAGGGGAGAGAGGGGGAGAAGAGAGAGAGAGATAGGGATGAGAGAGGGAAGAGAGAGGGGGGAGAGAGAGAGGGAAAGTGGGGAGAGAGGTGGATGAGAGAGGGAATAGAGAGAGAGAAAGGCGAGTGAGAGGGAAAAGAGAGAGGGGGAAGAGAGAGGGAAGACAGGACAGGGGGGGGAGAGAGAGAGGGTCGAAGAGATGGAAAGAGAGAGAGAGGGAGAAAGAGAGAGGGGGAAGAGAGAGAGAGAGAGGGGGAGAGAATGAGGGAAGAGAGAGAGGGAGAAAGAGAGAGAGGGGGGAGAGCGAGAGAGGGAGAGAGGGGGAAGGGAGAGAGAGGAAAGAGAGAGAGAGAGGGAAGAGAAAGGAGAAGGGAGAGGAGGAGGGAAGAGAGAGAAGAGAAAGAAAGGGAGAGAGAATCATATATACATACACACACTTATTGACTCTCTCGCTCTCTCATAGCCTAGGGCAGCACAAAATCTAAATACACACACTGGCTGCAGTGGATTGCAGAGAACACTAAGGTGTCCGTTTATGACACACAGAATAGCTGAGATTCAGAGGATCACAGCTATTCTCTGGTCATTCACAGTTTAGACACCCAGGAGAAATATGTTCAGCCCTTCTCTGGAGATCTGTGTTCTCCCTCCAGATTCTCCAGCCCAGAGCTGGAGAATCGAGAGGGACCGAAAACTAAGCAGAGATAATTTACCTCTGCTTAGTAAACTGATCTTTACTGTAAAATCTAGCGAGATTATAGTAAAATCAGCCGTTTTCCAGAGTTTGTAGACCGTTCTCCAGCGTTTGGAGATCATTCTCCCTTCGTTCGGAGAACTGCTTCATAAACTGTATTCACAGGAGAACTGTGTTCTCCGAGAATGCCGGAGAACTGAGCAGCGATCTATTACCGCTGGTCCATAAACGGACACCAAAATAAGGTAAATTAAAAAGTGGAACATTAGGGTTAAATAAAAAAAAGGGCAAACAGGCAGGAATTTTAATGCAGAAGAGACATGCTTTGTCTCTTCTGCATTAAAGTTACCTACCTGCCTGTCAGCTCTTGTACAGTAAGCCGTGCACTCACAGCTCACTGTACAAATTCAGCAATGTAGAATCTGACCGAATTCCTACACATGTGTGAGCTCGACATTATCCCCGCACCTCCAATGAAAGCAGACAGCAATCGAGACCTGGAAGCAAAGATGTCAGCGAGGTGAGTATAGTTCTGCTTTAATAGAAAAACATCAGCAAGGGTGCACTATACCCATGCACCAAACCCACTATGACCTAAAACTATGTCTAAAAATCTATAATATAGAAAATGAAAGTAAGTCATAAAAATGCCAGGTATAGGGCAATGTGGAATGAGTGAAAAAAAATACAAAATGATGGAATAGATATACAACTGCTTTCAATATAGGGAGATAACAACCAGACAGTAAGTATGTCTTTAGCTACCGTTGATCAAACTTTCTGTCTGAGTGGAGATGTGTATAGGGTAGAGTCAGTATCCTGGTCACATACCACAACCCAAAGACATGGATAGTTCTGCTTTAGCTTAACCACTTCCAGACCGGACACTTTTACCCCCTTCCTGACCAGGGCAATTTTCAGCTTTTAGCGCTATCACACTTTGAATGACAATTGCGCGGTCATGCAACACTGTACCCAAATGAATTTTTTACCATTTTTTTGAGATAGATAAAGCTTTATTTTGGTGGTATTTATTCACCACTGGGATTTGTATTTTTTTTTGCTATGTAAATGAAATGTCCAAAAATTTTGAAAAAAAGTGTTTTTTTTATAAAATTTTGCAAATAAATAATATTTCATCATAAATCTTAGCCAACATTTATTCCGTTATCTTTTTAGTAAAAAAAAAAAAAAATCCAAATTAGTTTATAAGCAAAAATTATAATTTTTAAACATTTTTTTTACATTTTTATTTTATTTTTTTTTTTATTATTATTTTTTTTTTTACATACTGTCACCCTAGCAGTACAGTGTCACCATGGGGTGATGAAGATTTTTTTTTTTTTTACACTGATTGCTTTTACACCCATATAGGATGTAAAAGCAATCATTTCTCTTTCTCTCTGTGTGCATTCTTGCACTCATTGAGAAGAACTGAGTGAGCTGTGATTGGTACAGCTTGTCACATGGTACAAGGCTTTTGTGAATAGCCTTGTACCATTGACCTCTGTGATCATTCACAGATTTCACACATAGTAAGCAATGATGTCAGAAGTGACATCTTGCCTACTACTTTGCATGTGATCACTGATTGGCCAATCAGTGATCACATGATCCGGGACCTCGTACAGAGGTCCCGTCCGACGATCGATGTTTCACTGTATCCGGAGGACACAGCGGGCACCGGATCGCGGTGCTGCGCGCTCCCAGGGAGCGCGCACAAGCAGGGTGCGGGGAGGCCGTTTATAGACGGCCACCCGACTCTGCAGTGCCACCGTCCGGCCGTTTATATAAACGGCCGGTCGGGAAGTGGTTAACTGTATTTCTGCACAGTGTTTCTTGGATAACATTAGTAATCCATTGAGTTGTTTCACCTATAATTGCACTGTAAAAAAAAAGTTACTATTTTTATTGGTAAGGATTGTGTTTTGAGATAGGGTCTCAGCTCTAATAATGTTAATTATTTCAGGAATTAACTATTAGTCTTTTTTTTTATTGTATTGTGTATATAGGTAATCTTTATATATTATATTAAGGATCAATTCACAGATGTAACACACGTACTATTTTACATAACATACATTTACAGCCATGTGATTCTTCTTTGTTGCAAATAATGATAGTTAAAGCTCAGTGATAAGCTCATGCTTAGTAAAATATCTAAACTGAAATCAATAGCAAACAGTTCACTGCATGAAGTTTTAGCATGGACCTTTTTTCAAGGCTCTGTAATCCAGACTTACCCAGAATCTTACAACCTAAGCTACTTTTTCCTTTTTTGTTCCTTATGTGAAGCATGAAGAGGCAGCTGTCAAGCATCTGTGGTTGTGAGGCCTTGTAGATCACCAACTTGGGGTTCCTCAGGCCGCGGAGTCTAATCCCCAGCCTGCTTCTTTACCAGAGCCCTTGATGATGGGGATGGGGATGGATTTGCAGCAAGCTGGAACTAGGTCACGACCCCCAGGTACACCCAGCTGAGGATGGGGAGACAACTGGCATGTGGAGTGCACAGCCAGCAGGAGACAAGAGGAAATCCAGGAGACAAGCCAAGGTCAGGACAGGTAGTAAACAAGCGCAGATGGTGAACAAAGTCGGGATAGGTACACGGGTAGTCAGGCAGAGGAAACCAATGACCAATGTAAAAATACCAAAGTAACAATGACTGGGAGCTTGGAGAATTGTGACGTTGCTCAGGCAATGTGGGCTAGACTAAGCATGTCCTATATAGGCAAGCAAACTAGGAAGCAGGCCAGGAAGTGATGGAAGGGAAGGAAATAAAACCCACAGAATAGCAAGTTACCCCCGAAGGTGAGCACACATATGAAAGGAATCAGGGCAGGAAAGCACTGCAGCAAAGGGTAAGAATACACAAGCAAGAGACTGCAGGCTAACTTGTGACAGCAGCATTAGAGGTAAGTAATAGTATAAAACAACCTTTTTCAAACAGGGTGACTTCAAGTTTCATTAGAGGTGCCTTGGCAAAATTCCTAAAAATTGCCCCAAAATTGTATAAAAGCCAGCAGATGGATCAAGCCTGCCTTTTAGCAATGCAAAGTCATATTTTATAATGTGCACCATTACAACCTTCCAGCAACCAGCATCATAACAACTAATGATGTTATCTCTTGATAAGTAGGACACCGGGTGCCTGCACAGCATCCTTTTTTGTCCCTCTCCATCAGCACTGGGGGTCACATTAGCAGAGTGAGGGAGAGAAACATTGGAATACTAGTCAGTACCAGTGAGAAAAGGTATGATTGCTTTGGAAGAATAAATCACATTGCAAGCCCTACATGTGTGGATGAGGCTGTGTTGTGTAAAATTATTAGTTTAATTTTTTTACATTTTAGAGGGGTGCCTCAAGATTGTGCATAATTTTAAAGGGAGCCTTGACTGACAGAAGGTTGAAAAACTGGTATTTAACATAAGCTTTGGTTTTCTTTAAATTTTCATGGAATAAACAGCCCAACCAGAATAGTTAGAATGAAATACTGGATAGGTGGATTATCGCTTTCCTCTAAATGATAGTCTCCGGATATATAAATTGCAAGTCATGCGGTTTACTTCAGTTAATTGCTTGACTTTAATGTTTTCCACCTTATCTACTTAACAATCATAGCACAGCCTATGTTTTAGAGGAGAATCATGCTACAGTTCACGTAAGGGTACAAAGCATTTATGGAAAGTTAAAGGCTCTGTGTACTCCAACTGTACGTTTTATGCATATGTTTTCTACAAATTGAATATTAGTTTCTATTAGGACAGTACAGATCTTACCAATAAGTGTAAAAGATATACTATACACTGTGGATTATATCTAGAAATATGTGCCATTTAAATTCATTTGAAATGCTGTCTTGCAGAATGTAGGAGCAGATAACACTCTAATGGAATCATTTGCTAATGCTAGTTCAGCATCTGTAACTGAAGTATGAACCGGATAAATAGCACCAAAATACTGTAGCAAATCATCAGACTCTGTTATAGGAACACAGATGTTCCAGGCAATAACCTCCAGACAGAACTGAAATGTTGCTGTGTGTAATTGAGTTTGATATATCAATCCCTAAAGGGATTTTAAACCACAGAAAAATAAAAAAAATATAGATTCTGTGTTTTTCAAAGAAATCCAGTAAATCTTGATTTGCATGTGGTTTTGCAATTTATTTTCCAGCATACATTAATACATAAAATTAGGGCTGCTTAGTCATTTTGCCAGTATTGTTCTAAATAGCCAAGCAAAAAAGTTACCTGGAATACAGACCAGATCCTAAAGGAGACGTAGGGCCAAAGCTCTTTTGGCCCTACTTCTCCTGTGGGTCACAG